CCAAAGGTACCTAGCCCAGGCCGCAGGTCAAGCACACACACTTGTTTGTATGCAGGTACCCAGACAACATCAGGTCCAAGGGAGAAGTCTGCAACTGTACAATCCAGGCCCTCAGCTGTGATTCAATCTAGACGACTGTGGGAAAAGTACCCGAGGCCAGACAGCCTCGACATCTGTTACTTAAGGCTGACCTCGAGTAAGTCAAGCATTCAGTCTTGCTATGCTGCGTTGACGCTGGCTCGACTTTGACACGACGCTGGCTTCATGCTGGCTGTGCACAAGCGTTGCGGACGACGACACGCGGTGGAGGCAGCATGCTGGTGCTTCTTCAGTGCACCATGCCATGCTGATGTGGCGCTGCCTCTGGTATATGTGGCGCTGCCTATGGTCTATGTGGCATGCTGATGTGGTGCTGCCTCTGGTATACGTGGCGCTGCCTCTGGTCTACATGGCATGCTGATGTGGCGCTGCCTCTGGTAAACGTGGCGCTGCCTATGGTCTACGTGGCATGCTGATGTGGCGCTGCCTCTGGTAAACGTGGCGCTGCCTCTGGTCTATGTGGCGCTGCTACTGGTCTACATTGATGATGTACGGGTACTCACCTGGGTTTGAAGTCGATACTGGAATCTGCAGTGTCTTCATGATCTTCATGAGATTGAGTGCCACGTGGCACTTCCGTGTGTGATCAGGAACATACTTGTTATCATTGTTGATGTGGAGAGGGTGGAAGCCCGGAGAAGGAGAGGGTTCAAAAGGGATTACTGTGTGAATCTTCATCTTCTCCTTTGTCTGTTCCCCCTCCACTCTCTTCTATTGATGATAATGAGATACTGTTTGATATATTTATTCACGAGTTGGAGACTTTGCTGCAGATACTGACTCTACAGGTATTTGACGACTTCTGACTATCTGTCAGACTGGGTTCATTACACTCTTCTCTCTTCTTCCTCTCTTGGTCTTCTCTTTGTCTTCTACCTCCCTGTATCTCCCTATCTGCATGCACTCACACTCTCTCTACTACTCAAGGACCAACTCTGAATACACCCACTGTCAAACTCTACTAACCCTTAAGAAGACTACAATTAACTACTAGCACTAAGACCCTGCACTGGTTCCGGTATGGCTGCCTTCTCCCTGACAGCTCTCTCTCTCTCTCTCTCTGCGCAGCACTCTGGCTTCAGCGCTCTGCCCCTCACAATAGCGCACGAGTGCACCAGCACTTCCACACTACATACGAATGAGCTATCTGGCGAATGAGGAGGCGGGCCAGTCCTTTTGTAGTCTTGGATTGCACTTCAACTCGTGCCAGCCTCTGCTGCTTGGGGCCTGACTGGGTTCCGGTACCACATCCCCACGGCCTGTCTGCTCTCTAATGTCAAGGGCTGGAACCTTCCCGAATTTCCATTGGTCTGTTGCTGCCTGTGTGGCGGATGCCTTGTGTGGTGTTGTGTGTGTGTGGGTGAGTTGAAGGACGCTACAGCCATGCAGGCGTGGGGTGAATATCACGACCGGCATGGATTCACTTTTGTACACCGTGTCATGGCTGTAGTGGTTAAGAGACTCGGCTCTTGAGGCTGAGGGCGCCAGTTCGAATCCGTGCTTGCACGGAGGAGGTCCTATGGCTGATAATGTACACACTGTACTTCAACCGGGTAACCAGCCCAGAAATTATACCTGGCGGAGGTGGCCCGTGGATAAAACCGTTGGATAAGCAGTTGTGCAGGATGAGAGTGGAGTGTGCGACTACTGCCTGTGTGGCGGATGCCTTGTGTGGCGTTGTGGGTGTGTGGGTGTGAGTTGAAGGACACTACAGCCATGCAGGGGTGGGGTGAATATCACGACCGGCATGGATTCACTTTTGTACACCGTGTCATGGCTGTAGTGGTTAAGAGACTCGGCTCTTGAGGCTGAGGGCACCGGTTCGAATCCATGCTTGCACGGAGGAGGTCCTAGGGCTGATAATGTACACACTGCTGCTGATTGGGCCTTTGAGTCATGACTTTTCGATTTTGGCATATGGTTTTGACTGTGGACTGTGACTCCTACCTCTGAAACACGACTCTTGCATGTGGGTCTGCTCGTTTACTCGTGGGATGTGACTCTTCAATATGACTTTTCATTATGAGACGTGATTTTTGCCCCTAACATGTGACTGTTTGCTGGGTGCCTGTTGGACTGGACTGCTTAGGTACCTGAGTGTGACCTTTATGAAATTGACTAACTTGGCCTTCTTGGCCAGGGCCTCTAACCCTGAGACCCGAATTTAGGGTCTGAATCAAAATTACCAAATTTATCTGTCTATGATATTAACTCCTCTCGCCGGCCTATTGTCGAAGTCCCCCGAAAAATTACCAATTTTATCTGTCTATTATATCAACTCCTCTCTTAGCTCTTTCATAATAGGACACAATATGCGGTGCTGTTTCTATTAGCTCGTCTCTTGTAAACCAGCGATCTTCTGTAGGTTCCTGATAGGCAAATCTGACCTTATATTGTCACTGTCGTCTACCCCTGCGCCCAGATCTGTAAACATCTTCCCCAACAATCCTATCTACATCATACTTTCCATCCATATCAGGGGGAATCATAGATCTGCATGACGGAAACGTATCATTACTGATGCAAGAGAGTAACTTTGATGCATGAAACACCGGATACATGTGCAAGTGTGGAGGAATTTCAACAACATACGAAGGACCATCTACATCACCAATCACATCAAGAATCTGCCAGGGTCCTCGATAGGCAGGTAATAACTTTTGAGAAATGTTCTCCTTAGGGAGAAACTCTTTTCACTTCACCCAGACTAAATCGCCTACAACAAATGCGAGGGTCTGCGGTGCTTGTTAGCCTGTTCTATCATCTGATGCTGTGCCTTACTAATGTTCTCTCTAACTTGTTCCAGGCCTTTCTGATATTGAACAGCAAATCCCCTGGTTCCTGGCGGGAGTCTCTGTACTTATCATGGTTTAGACAGTCAATGGGGCTACGTGGGCGCGCCATCCAAGATGCAGTTCAGTCGGTGTTCTGGATGTAGCTAGATGCACAGAATTGCTATAGGCACTGGCAACTTTTGGCAGATGTTCATCCCAATCAATCTGATCTGGCCGTATGTACATGCGCAGCACTTGCTGCAGCAGCTTATTCATCTGCTCAGTCTGTCCATTCGTCTCAGGGTGTCTACCTGAAGGTTGTACATGCGCAGCACTAGCTGCAGCAGCTTGCACATGCGCAGCACTTGCTGCAGCAACTTATTCATCTCCTCGGTTAGTTTGGACCCATACACCTTCATCAGTTGCTGCCACTGCTCACCTGTGAACCGCGTATCCCTGTCACTTGCAATAGTCAAGGGATGCCCAAAATCTTTCACCCAAAAGAATTCCCTAATCACCAAATCAGCTTTTGCTTTTGCAGGGAGTGGAACAAAAACAGCAAACTTGCTAAATCTGTCTACAACAACCATAACCTGATTCTTACCATTCCTGCTTCTTACTTTAATGTCCATGAAGTCTATAGACACGGAATCCCCTGGCCCCGATGGAATAGGTAGTGGTCTGAGTAATCCAAGGGGAGGTTGTGTGGAACTCTTGTTCCTCTGACATACATGACAGCCTTGCGCATAGGAAATGCAATCATGCTTCATTTCCGGCCTCGTGTAGGGGAGGCTGTGTGGAACTCTTGTTCCTCTGACATACCTGACAGCCTTGGGCATAGGAAATGCAATCATGCTTTATTCCTGGCCACGTGTAGGAGCGTAGGAGGTTAGCATAAGTCTTCCTCCATCCGAAATGCCCCTCAGTGTCGTGATTTTCCCCAAGTAGTATGCTACGAATTTCCTCGCTGCTCAGAGCGCATAGTCGGTCATTGACATCTGTCTTTCCAAACAGCAGTCCTTGCGTTACCTTATAGTCCGGGACTTCGTGAGATGCTGTTCGCACCTTGCCAATCAACTGGCTATAGACTGGATCACTCTCGTAGGCAGACTTAATCTTCTCTTGCAGTTCGGCGCTTGCATCTAGATATGTAACAATTGCACCAAAAAAGTCAGCTCTCCTACTTAACGAGTCGGCAATAACATTATATTTCCCCTTTACTGGCTTCAGCTCAAAATCAAACTGATCGATTTCCCCAGCCCACGTCGTCAGTTTAGGTGTGATACGAGCTTGAGTGTTTAGCCAGCGAAGTGTTTCATGATCCGAATAGACTTTAAAGTTGCGTCCTAGCAGATACTGTCGCCAATGGTTCAGCACTTCCCGTAGAGCAAACAGCTCCCTCTCATAGGTAGAAGCAGCGACCTTTCGCTAGGCAGTCTACAGCAGCGCTGAATATCCAGTCCCACCGGGGCCCCCTTCCCCCACCAGAACCGGGCCGGTGGTACGGACCGGTGGAGAGCCCCAGTTCCCCCCCGGTTGCAATTTGCACAATTCGTTGTGGGGGGGGCGGGTACAATTTTTTTTGGGGTCGGGAATTTTTTTGTGGGGTCGGGAGGCCTCCCGGCCCCAAAAAAAAATCAACCGGGTCCGGTAGGCCCGCCAGATTGTTGAGAAACTGGCGGCCTATCTGGGCCGTCGATCTGGTGAGATCTACGGCCCAGATAGGCCACCCGTTTTTTAACATTCGGGCGGGAAACCACCCGCAGTTTTGGGCGGCAATCCAAACCTTCCCCAGGCACAGCCCCCACCACCCCGCCTCCCGCCTCCAGCTGCTTTCGAGCAGTAGGACCCATCACTTCGACACTTTGTCGAAAGTGAACGAGGTCGAGACTGCCTCCGCCCCACCCACATCCGCCCCGACCTTGGATCGCCATCGCCCTGGCCGGCCGTCTATTGGTAAAGGTAAGTCTTCCTTTGTTGTTCTTTGTTTCTTCTTCTTCTTCTTCTTCTTGTGGCAAAGCCCAAGTCCGAAGTTTGCTAAGAGAGAGAGAGAGAGAGAGAGAGAGAGAGAGAGAGAGAGAGAGAGAGAGAGAGAGCAAAGTAGTGGGCGCGCGCGGAGGGTAGCAGGTGCGTGGGTGATGATATGGACATGATGATGATGATGATGATGATGATGGAGGATGACATCATGATCATGGTGACGACGATGACGACGATGCCAACTAAGGATGACATCATGATGATGGTGATGACGATGAGGACGACGACGACCATGATGACGACGACGATGGTGATGATGATGATGATGATGATGATGATGATGATGACGATGACGGCGATGACGATGATGATGATGCTGATGCTGATGATGCTGATGGTGACGATGATGATGACGGTGATGACAGTGATGACATCATGATGATGGTGACGATGATGATGACGGTGATGACATCATGATGATGGTGACGACGATGAGGACGACGACGACCACGACGGCGACGACCATGATGACGACGACGATGGCGATGATGATGATGATGACGACGATGATGATGGCGGTGAAGACAATGATGACAACGACGGCGATGACAGTGGATGATGGTGACGATGCTTACTATCTTCTTCTTCTTCTTCTTCTGCAAAGCCGAAGTCCGAAGTTTGCGACGTAGAGAGAGAGAGAGAGAGAGAGAGAGAGAGAGAGAGAGAGAGAGAGAGAGAGAGAGAGAGAGAGAGAGAGAGAGTGGGCGCGCGCGGAGGGTAGCGGGTGCGTGGGTGATTGTATGAACAGTGGATGATGATGATGATAGAGGAGGATGACATCATGATGATGGCGACGATGACGAAGGATTACGTCATGATGATGGTGACGATGATGACTGCGATGGCGACGACCATGATGACGACGACGACAACGATGATGATGATGATGATGAGGGTGATGAGGGTGATGATGATGACGATGATGATGATGATGATGATGATGATGATGATGATGATGATGATGATGATGACGACGACGACGATGATGATGATGATGATGATGATGATGATGACGACGACGACGATGATGATGATGATGATGATGATGATGATGATGATGATG